TCCTTCACTACGAGCCAGATTGTCTACAACTGGTAAACAACCGCAACAAAGCCACGGGGAGTGAATACCCATAATAGTTTCTTAACGACAGTTGCAAATCGGCCTTCGAAGTGAAGCACTCTGGTCGCCTCTAATTCAACCACTCGACGAATGATTCAGTGACTACTGGACGTCAATAAAGGGAGCGGTCCAAATGCTGACCAAAAAACGATAGATTCTGGCACAACCAAAGCACAAACCACGGATTTCGTCCACATCAGCCTCCTTGCTGTTCGTCTGCAGAACCATTGCTCCCGATGTCCAATACGGCACAAAGTGCATAGCCCTAGAACACGAGTTCATCATGAGCCCGAGAAATGACCGCGAGAATTGATGTCACAAACTGTAGACATAAATGGAGAAGGCTGCGGCTATTGGTAACATTCGCAATCTTTTCTGTCTACTCAGGAGTGCGGACACATGAAGGTGAGCGTAAATAAGATTAAGGAGTCTGACGATCCACTGATTCATATTCAGCAACACCGTCTAGATCGATGGGCTGAACATTTTAAGGCTCAGTTAAACTGGCCTTCGTCGTCATTAGGCCTGTCAATTCTTACCTCAACTGGGCAACTACTGCCAGTTTACATTTTTCCTCTCTACGAAATGGAGGTTATGTCAAAGGATGTCAGGTTTCCGGTTCGGACGGGCCATCTCCATCTGCTTTTAAGGATACAGGGTTCAGTCTTGGTTTTGGAGTTGAGGAAACTCCTGGTCTACGTGTGTGAGGGGATTGTTACTGAATGAATGAGGTGAATTGGTCAACATACCGATTTACAAGAAATACGACAGATCCTTCCGCGAATTAGGCCGAGAAATCAGTTTCATGTACGTTTCCATCAAGATTCTCGCTGGCATCCCTCTCCGTAAACAGTGCATGTCTGAGAATCGAGGCTGTATAGGCCACAGCTTTACCCTTCGCTTTAATCTAAACCACAGATACGCCTTTCTCATACCCACTATTTTTATCTTTCTCGATCTAAAAGCGGCTTTCGACTCAGTCAGTTGCTCTGAACTCAGGAGCTGTCTCTCCCTGAAGAATGTGCTCAATAAGTTCATTTCAGAATATAGGGTTCTGTTTCAAGAGTAGAACTGTATGTTACCGAGCGCGTCCCCGGGTCACGGATGGGAGAATAGCCGCTAACTCGCGGTTACTTGTGAATAAGGTGGATTTGTTCTCATCGAATAAGCGGTCGCGGACGATCAGCGACAGAGCTCGAGGATGTAGTGGGTTTACCACTTGGCAAGGGTTCTCCTCACAAGAAAACATAGGTATCCTTCGATAACGTTGTGACGTGGTGAGTGTGACTCACCAGTGAATACGGCCATAGCCCCTTGTAGAATCCCATCTACCCGACAAGGTCTTCCAGAGAAGACGAATGAACCAACCGACTGTTCAGCAGCTCATCTGGAACAATAGTGCAGCCTTGTAGCTTGCGCTTGGTTGCACAAACACTGGATTGCACCCTTGAACAAGCCTACTCTGGACTGGGCGACTGAGTAGTACACAAGCCCACAATGCAAAACAAAAAATGAAAGATCATCAACTTACCCAATGATTCGCTTTTTCTTCTTTCCTCTCTCATAAAAAGAACATTCTACACCGTGCACATCTACCTATTTTCCAGTCTTTCCTCCACCTCACATTCGCTGATTTCAAACATTCCCAGTGTCATTAGGATAGTCAGACGATCGCCTCCGATGGAAATTCCACCCCATTTTCTGGCGTCCTGCCTCGATTAGCGCCCAAGTTACACCGAGTAGTTTTCCACCACACGAGGCTCCTCTTCGTTCACGATGCGCATTCAAAATAACCACATTTAACTTGCGTATTCTGATTCATACAGTACAACAGGCATGTTTAGCTCTTACCGAGAGAGTTGAAGCCGCGTTCATATACTGGAACCCAGTCGACAGTAGGTTATGCGCAGTGAGACTTAGAGGCTCGTACAAAGTAAATGATCGTCTCTCCGAAAGAGACGACTTGTTTGTCGTCTCAGCGTACGCACCCACGAACTGAAGCTCAGATACAGTCAAAGATACTTTCTATCAAGATCTACACGACCTCTTGCGTAAAGCGACCCGAGCTGAAATCGTGATTTTAGCAGGATGAGTGCCAGAGTAAGCCGACTGACTTCGAGTCTGGCGCATCTGGGTGGTCCTTTCGGACTAGATTCCTGTCGCTCGGAAAACGGCGAGCAGCTGTTGGTTCCATTTTCCGACCACCGCCTATTCCTCGCCAGTACGAGCTTCAGGCGCTCAAACTGCCGATAAGCCACTTGGCGTCCACCATCCTCGGGTCAGTGACAAACGCAAATCGACCACATCACTATAAGCCACAAATGGCGGGGCTGCATACAAAGACTGCCGATCATATCGGAGCACTCCCCGCGACTCCGATTACGCCTTAGTCTGCACCAAGCTGCCCATGTGCTTCTGTGGGCGTTCTAAACGCACGAAACAGCGGCGGTTAGATTGCGATAAGTTGTCTCAGCTAGCATGCTTAGCCATCTGTCAGAACCCGCTAGCTGAAAAGCTGGAAGCAACCCCACCCGATGACATCAAGAAGCACTGGTGGCTTATCCAGAATGCTCTGTATTCTGCTGGCTTAGTTAGTTGTAGTCTGACACGTCGTATCGTGATTTCCGCTTAGTCTCTGTGCCTTCTTGACACACGTCGGTCACTTCCGACCGGCAGCGCGCATAACGTAACACGGCTTGTAACGAGACGTGAAATTAACGTAGCGCTGGTGGCCAAGTGAATAGGTCACCAACTATTGATTTAGGTGTCCCGGGTTCAAACCGCTCCAACGCCGCCCGTCTTCCTTATATCTGTATTTTCCCCAGGCAGCCTTTATATAGCCGCAGCAACCTTCCTGAAAGTTGACTGTACACTTGTATATTCAATAACTATAAAAAGGAAGTAAAAAGATATTTTTTGTAAGCCTACGCAGAGATCGCCAAATCTGGTGGTCTCAACGTGCATCAGAGATCGAACATGCTGCCGCAATGGGAAATTCCCGCAAGCTGTTCGATCTCATTCGAGTCACCAGTAGGAAAACCTTGGGTGTGCGCGAAACGATCTGTGAAACTGACAGCTCTCTTAGCCACAATCAACAGCGACGTTTTGAATATTGGGCGGAGTACTTTAGAGCACAGTTTAACTGACCACCAGCTTCACTTCACACAGCTATTCCGGCTCACTTCCCATGGTCTGTATCAATAAACCCACCATCTCAGGAGGGAAGCCGTAATGAGATCCAAACCCTGGGACGTCGCAAAGCACCGGACTCCGATGACCTTCGCCTAGCTCTATTTAAAGATGGTGCAATAAAGCTTGTTAGATAACGACAGGTTCTGTTCTGTAAAGTTTGGAATACCGTGCACCTCCCGTCCTCGTGGGGAGAGTCGATTATCCAGTCCATCTTTAACAAGGGCCCGCGTAAACACTACGCCAATCATAGCGGTATAAGCCTGATCCCCATAGCGTCAAAGCTGTTAACGTCCATCATCCTTGGTAGATTATACAGGATGCGTGAGGAAAATATCCACGAGGAGCAGGCTGGGTTTCGCACTGGTCGTGGATGCATTGATCAAATCTTAACCCTCCGACAGCTGTTAGAGCACCATCATGCTTATCAAAAACCAATCATCATTGTATTCTGAGACATCCGCGCGGCCTTCGATTCTGTTGATAGGGCTGCACTATGGAGCTGTTTGTTGAGGAATGGAGTACCTGAGAAATATGTGTCGATCCTCAAACAGTTGTATCGCCATACCTCAGGTCGGGTTACGGCCTATGGCCAGCTTTCGCCACCCTTCGCCGTCTCCACTGGAGTTGGACAAGGTTGCCCCGTATCCCCCATTCCTCTTCAACTTCGCCAATGGGGATGTTCCGCAGGACGCTTAATCCGGTCTAGCAAACGGTCGAGTCGAACTCCTCCCAGGGAACAGAGTCCTTGATTTAGAATATGCTGAGAACATTGCACTGTTTGGTGACAACACACAGGCAGTACAAAACGCTTTGAACCACTTCGCGATCGAGGTATCCAGGTATGATATATGCTCTGCGCCGTCCAAATGCAAAGTGCTTGTTCAAGACTGGCAGTAGCCTGTGCCTACACTCACCCTCTGTAGTGATCAGCTGGAAGTAGTTCAGAGTTTTAAGTACCTCGAGAGCTTGATCGCAGCCAGTGATGTTAGAGAGGAGATTACATCAAGCATAGCGAAAGTTAGAGCAGCTTTCGCCAACCTGCGACACTTGTGGCGCCGCCATGACATCCGACTGTCCCTGAAGGGAAGCGTTTACATCGCCGCAATTCGTGGCTTTTTGCTTTACGGTTGCGAGACCTGGCCTCTCCTCATTGAGGATGCTAATCGACTTTCCGTATTCGACCACCGATGCCTTCGAAGCATTGCTCGTATCTGTTGGAAACATCGAATGGGCAATGACCACATTCGTCGTAGTATGCTGGGTTTTGATAGTCGGTCTCTAACAGAAGAAATCGTTCTACACCGCCTCCGATGTCTCGGTCAGGTTTTGCGTATGCCTGCTCATCGATTACCTTTCCGTGATCTCTTTGCACGTATCGGGCAAGGCTGGAAGAAGCGCCGCGGCGGTCGGATCATGACATGGCGTAGAGGTACGAAGAAGCCGGCTTCAGCTCTCGCTTCAGTTGGTGCAGCCCACCTTCCAGGTTGGGGTCCAAGGGATTGTCGTTGGTTAGAGAAGCTGAGAGTTATGGCCCAGAATAGAAATCAGTGGCGTAAATGCTGTACGGTTTACCTGTCGAAATCCCGTGCCTCATAAGAAAAAAAGTGGACTAACACAAAAATTTCAAAAAGTGTACAGTGAAACAAAAAAATTGTCATCTCAATAATTCGTTATTTCCCATTTTACCAGTTCCATCTTTTTTCACTGTGTTCTGTATCCCAGCCCCCCTCTCGTTATTTCTATTGTTATTATTGTTGTGTCGTGGGCACCAGGCTCGTCCGTAATCCGGTGTTAAATAAATATTTGAAGCATACGCCAAATCGGAACACGGAAATTTGTTCTACAAAATTAGTCCGATAGTGGACATATTTATCAATGTGTGTTTGTGTGACTCCGTTGACGTGGGCTTTCTTCAATGTGATTGGATAATGGAACTCGGGATTTGGAACAATTATACATCGCTGATCACATGACTCGAGAATAATGAAAATAAAAGAAAGTAAACAACCAAACGATTCTCACCTCTCTCGCTGCCATGCATTTTGTGATGGAATAAGAGTGGAACAGGCAGGAAGGAAACTTACCTCAAACCGTGTGACTTCAGGTTTGGCAGTCAGATAAGGAGGACTAGTGTAGGGTGTGGGCATTGGGAAGAGATTGGCACCTCGTGTTCGCATACCACTGACAGCTATGGGGCTGGTAGTAGTTCCTTTTCCACTGTCTGCGGATGAGGAGGAGAGTCGGTCGAGCACTTTAGACAGCTCGAGGACCCGTTTGGCTGGCCACTTGTAACGCACATTCCCAAAAGACCGACACATAGCCAATTCGCCCAGCAGCCGCCCACCTTCACGGAACAGCTCTGACGGAGTGTTGTCTGGATGCTCACTAAGAACCCGATTTATCTCGTCCGAATTGCACGCGCCTTGATGCGGTCTGGTGCATGGGATGGCCTCCAACAAGGGGGAATCGGAATCTGATTTATACGGGTACGGGAAGAAAAACGACTGAGGGTTTCTACTTTCTTTTTGACCGGATAAATCTTTCCGTCCGACAATTAACGTTCAGAGACGCTAACAGTGGTTATGTGGCAAACTGATGGGAATCAACGAGACGATCAAATGGTTCACAAAGTTTAATGTATCACATTGTCATTGTGGCTCGCATACGGCACCAACACAGTTTCCTATAAGACTATCCAAAGGTACTGAACGAATCCCGATTTATTTAATCGAACTATATTTGTTTGCACACACTTCCACTTAGAATCAAAAACCCAGCATGGAATGATTCCCCTCTAGAAACATCCATTTGGGTGAGAAAGAAAAAGTGGACGGTTAGGTTCATGGAACGAAAGTAAACGTATGCTCAACCTTGTTCCCGTTCGGTTTTCTTTGGTTTCAACGTCATTATTTGAATTTTTTAAATGTGCCCATTATAACGACTGTTGGCCCCCAACGGTTAGCAATGAACCATTTCTGTTGCGTAAACTGGATGCCTCCAAAAGCATTATTATGGTCGAGGGTGGGTGTTGTTGCTGGTCACCCCTTCCTTGCGCCTCGCGAAATGATAGCATAAGACGAAGCGTCTCAAGTATGCTCTGCTGAGCGGAGGCTCCTATGGTCCGAGGTTCGAGCCCCGCCACCGCCATCAAATGTTGATGACGAGCAGCTTTGCTGTCGTCCGGTTCAATACTACGTATAACCTAGCGGGTCTTATGTGGTTCGCCACTTCAAGTCCCGGAGCTTAAGTTACCGGTTCTCATGAAGGAACAGCAGATTCTCGTGACAATGGGGTTCGCTGTTCATCACACTAAGGTGTGTAACAAAAAGAAAGTGAGTCCTATTCCGGCGATTTCCTGTCGGTTGTTTTGTCTCTCCGTGGAACATTAAATTTATTGACCACGTCCTGACCGAGGGTTGGAGGCAAGATCAACGACTCATCACTCAATATGCACCCACGCGGCACTGTCCGTCCTCTTGTACTAACACTAACTCGAACGTTCAATAACGAATCCATCGCTAGTGTTTGTCACGGTCTATGGACCTCAGAATTCCATTTGTGTTTAGTATGCTAATGTTACCTACAGCTTACACCATTCACCAGTACCACCCCCTCCTACTACCTCATTTCCGTCCAATACGGTTTTCATATTTGATCCAACGTTCTAGCATGTGATCTAATTAGCATATATATATCAACAAACCGTTATTGTATAGTTGACTATCAACTACCCAACTTCCTGTTCGCCTGTTCTGTTGCAGACGGTAGGAGATATAAGTTTATTCGCCTTCATTGCCACCCAGCAATAGCACAGATAAGTTGCAAGCTTCTCTGGATAACTTGAGTGTATCACGGTTGAAGTGTCGGCTTACATACAAAAGATTCGGTGGGCATTTGCCAACTTGAGACATCTGTGGCACCGTCGCGAAATCCGGCTATCTGCGAAAGGTCCAGTGTATGCCGCGACAGTTCGGCCAGTCCTGCTATACGGCGCATAAACTTGGTCATTAAGAAAACAGGATAAAGATAGACTGTCGGCGTTTGAACACCACAGTCTACGCAGCATTGCACAAATCTGGTGGAGCAGCCGAACGAGCAATGCCGGGCTTAGGCGCAGAGTTTTAGGTAACAGCAGTCACCCACTGGCGCAAGTGTTCGATCTCCATAGATTACGTTCGCTGGCCATGTGTTACGCATGTCCCCAGATAGGTTACCACGGCGAGCGATGTTCGCCGAGGTAGGTAGTGGGTGGAAGAAAGCCAATGGTGGTCAAGCTCGGACTTGAGATGACGGTATAAAAACCCTAACCAGGAGTCTGGTTCACATATGTCCTGTTATACTCTCTGCATGGGGACCTCGGGATGATCGTACCTGATGGGTAGAGACATTGAGTGATACGGCTGAGTGTCGTAAACAGTGGTGTTCGTGCATCTTCTCAATTTTGTTTGCAGCATTAGTTTACTGGGTTTCTCCATCTTCTATTCGACTCCACTTTCAACTTTCCTGTCTTTGTCCTACTTTTGATCCAAATGGGCAGCAGCCAAAAGGCAGCAACCGAAACGGGCGCACGAAAGTGCATGGTTCATGGTTGTACAGCCTGAAAAACCCAGCAACGGCCAATTGCAATTAGTACTGTGTGAGATCAAACAACTCCATTCAACACACAATGGGAAAAATCAGGCGGGGTGGTGGTGGTGGTGGGATTCGAACACACATACTATGTACAGTTCTGGCCAAAGCACACTGGTCCCTGAAGGTTCTATGTTTCAACTTTGACATCAGCAGTCTGTCTCGTTCACTGGGTTCGATTCCATATAACAGCCCCTAATAAATTAGCTAAATCAACTCCCCAAAAAGTAAGCCGCCGGCTGCCAGATCTTCACTGTTTAAGGAGACCCCTCGCCGCGTCCCCCTGAGAGTATCGTCATAGCTTAATAGGCAAGTGATAGCACACAGAGAGAGAGAGAAAACTCTCGCTGCACATGTATGGAATATTACTATAGCTCTACTATATAAGGAAATGCGACGTGCACGTACATGTATGTCTTGGATACTTCGTGTGCACGGATGAAAGTCCGTCATGATGGGAGAGAATGATATTTTAAGCCCAGAAGCGGCGTGCTTTAGCGTAAATCATTCATCCGAATCGGTGGTCTGAAACGGTATCAAGTTAACACATACACGTAAACGCAGACACGAATTCCGCATCCATAATGGCCGTCTACGTCCATGGAATAGGAATGTATTGGACCACGTGAATTAATAAACGATCCAAGCCGGCCACCGGTTGTCCGGTTCAGAGCCGCTAGTGTCCGGATTCAGACTGAACGATTGCATTGCACAAACGGATTCGGTGAAGAAGTAACCGGGGTTTGAGATAGATTCCAGCAGCACCCGTGCAGGGTACACATGAATGCAACAAGTGTGTGAGAGAGATCTTGAGAGATGGACAAAAAGCGGAGATTAAAGGAAAATTGGCGGTCACAGACAGACCAAATCAAATGTCATAAGGAAGAAATAGAACGCCGAAGGACAACGAGTGTTGTAAATACTAGTCACGTGCAAAAGAGAAACGAAGCAGATTCAATTCTACTTCAAATGGCATTACACAGATAAAGAAAATCCGATAGGCGAAACAGGCTGTTTTTCGATAAATTCATCAACTGGCCATTTACATTGTATAGACAGAGCATTTAATATTGTTTGATCCCGTGTACGGTGGATCTTATTACCCTTTGTACAAAGCGATGCCTCGTGCGTCAACAAATTGGCTTGAGCTTCCCCTTGGTTACGACGTTCTTCCAATTACCACGCTCGCATCGGTTGGTCGCTTGGCGACTGGCCATGGTGGTGATAATGTCTGGACGAAACGCTTCTAACTGCATAGTGAGGGGTCAAACAGTTTGATCGCAATAGCTTCAGCCGTGCATAGAAGGATGAAGCGTACAGATTTAGATGATAACGGCGGAATGCGATAAACGGTTCGGAACGCTCGACTTACGTCCACTTGGTGACTACTTTCCAATAGGTGTTGGCATATCGCGCTTCTCGCTGTCCTCGTTTCTCCGTATGCTAACCAACGAGGATGGTGTCCCTTTATTCTCTTTGACAATTGTCTTGTTGTCCAGCCAATGTAGCTCGCTCCACAGAAGCAAGTAAACAAATAGATGCACATGGATACGGCCTGAGGAGACAATGTGTCTTTGAGATGGAAACGAATTACTGGTGATATGGAGAAACTGATGCGTAGTGATGCCGTAGTGAAGGTTCTCCTTAGCGTTTGGTTTACTGTTCGTGTGACCCACCTTGTCGCCTTCGTACGGTAATTGCAGGCACGGGAGTTTTCTGCTTACTGTGCTCACTTCTGGTTTCTCCGTTGTTTCTGTTAGGTGTTTGTCAAGAAAACGACCCGGATAGCCATTCTCTCGTAATGTATTTCTTATTTGCTTCAGTTCGTCGATTACGGTATCCGGAGTGCAAATTCTGTGCTCGTCTCGCTAGACAATGAACCAAGTTTCGCTTTTGTTTATTTGATGCGAAACCATTGAAATGCATGTACTGTCCTGCCCAAGTTGGTTTCCTTTGGATGTTCCTTCGGATAGATCCATCTGAGTTTCTATGGATAAAGACAACTAGAAACGGGATGCAATCGTTCGGTTCTTTTTCGATAGTAAAGCTTATGGATCGATGAGTACTGTTAAAAGATGTCAGTATTCCGTCCAAGACTCCAATTCCATTTTCATTACTAGCGAGGAATATATCGTCCATGCATCTGCAGTACATTTTCAAATCCTCTACGATCGATTGGAGGTTGGTGTTCTCTAACTTACCCATGAATACATCAGCAAGAAGTGGACCCAAAGGTGAACCCATAGCAACTCCATCTGTTTGTCTGTACGCATGATTGTTGAAAATGAATTGTACATCAAAAGTGCATCGGAGTAATAATTCCTTGAGAAAATTCAGTGGTATTCCAATGTCCAAATGATGATCTGTCATAAAAATGCACAAATATCCGATCGTTTCGACTAGTGGGAGGTTTGTGAACAACGATGTCACGTCTAAGGAGTATGTAGATTGGGAGATGTTTAGATCCTTGATTCGATCAACAAAATGGAAAGTGTCTCTCAAACTGTGTCGATATCTTCTTCCTGATTGGATCGAGCATTTGAGCCAGTCATTTCGGTTTGGCGTGATATGGTGAGTTTGTCATATCCAATATCGGCCTCAATGGTAGATTGGGTTTACGAACCTTGGGGAATCCGTAGAGCCTTGGAATATTTGACCCTTGGGGTTTCAGTTGTTCGAATGTAGTGGAACTTATATGGTTTTTGTTTCTCATGGACTTCAGGCATTTCATCAGTTGTTGTTCTGTTATTCTGTTCGGTCCCTCCCTTTTGGTTCCCTTTGGAATTTGCAGCCGTCTGAGAGAATTGCACTCATCTTGTCTACGTAGTCTGTTCTTTTCATAAG